ACTGTGGGCCATCTAAGCTAAGTGCGTTACCATCGTTCCAAACAACATCCGCGTTGAACACCCTGATAACCATCAACCATCACGACAAAACGGTTCTTTTTATAAATTATTGTTGTTTAAGAGTTAATTTTCATTGAACGTTCGCTCGCCTTGCTGCCAGCAACATCACCCCCAAAGCTCTTTGGTATTGTACCCAGCAACCAAACATTTTTGGCTAAATGCGTAACAGTAGTGAGGTGGTACATAAAAATTCTCGAAATGACCGAATATCACATGACCTTGTCAATTAACCAGAAACACTTCGAATTAAGGTGAGGTTTTCTCCAGGACGCTATAAAAAAGCAAAAAAATCACGAATTTATATGATTGATAACGAATATCTCGCGATTGGGAAATTGTAGCAAGAAATTCCTCCAATCAATTTACGCTTTTTTTTTAATCTATTGAATATACCAAAAATTCGGTGCTTTTGGTGCACGAAGATGCATTATTTTGTCATCAGAAAACGAGGCGTTTCCGTGTTGGGAAAAAATTGGTTTCCCAAACACAGTCGCTGAATATGGATACCGAGCACGTAATCCTACACTGAGGCAAATAAACATAAGAATTTCATACCAAGTGAACGCTTGGTCAACAACATACCCTGTAATCTCAAGGGCCATGGCTCGAGCCAGGTCTGCTCCGTTTTATAATTTTTTTTTTCAACATTATTTTTCATAAGGCAAATGCATGAAATTCATACTGATTTCTTATGGCTAAAATTCATAAGTGGTTCTTATGACATTCTTACGTTCTTTTGCCTCAGTGTACGTCAAATCTACGGTCGTGTCTTGGATACAACCTCTTATTTTTTTTCTGTTATGTATTTTCCCGATTCTGATCAAGCTATGTCCTCAACCATGTATTTTGCAACAAAGCAGGCAAGCAATATATCATTATCCTTCTACATTTCCGATCAAGCTATATTACAGAGAGAGTTAATCGTGGACGTAGTAGCAAGAGTTTTGTCTTTATTGTTGGTTGCTTTATGTGTTTGGATTCGCTGGTCCTGAATACTCAATATGATCACGGGTTGTCATGTTTTTTAAAGTTCCTTTGATTGTAACCTCAACGTCAAAACCATTGAACCAGCCCAAGGCTGAAAGTCTCGTTAATAATGAAAACTAAAATAAACTAATGGGGCCTCATAGCCTAGTCAGTAAAGGCACGGTATTACCAAGCCGGAGGCGGCGGGTTCGATTCCCGGTCCGGTCGAGGGAATCTTTCGGGTTGGAAATTTTCTCGACTTCCCTGAGCATAGAGTTTCATTGTGCTTGCCACACAATATACAAATTCATGCATTGGTAATTGGCATCGAAAGCTCTCAATTAATAACTGTGGAAGTGCATTTAGAACACTAAGTTGAGAGCCCGCAATAAGCTAATATGCGCTAAGCAATAAGCTTGAAATACGAAGAAGAAGAAGAAACTAAACTAACTATCAACGTCACAGAATTCAGAAGCTCTACCTTTGATACTGCATAGATCATCGACCAAACGAGGTACTGACTTGTAGAAAAATCGACTTAGATAGAGTAGTGGAGAGTTTACTGTGTATTTTTTTTTTCCTTTGATTTGTTTTCCGTCGATCTTGTTTTCCGTGCTGAGCACCAATGCTACCGACGCCAGGGAGGCAGCTCCCACACCTGGACCCTACCTATCGACCCGTCAACTCATGAACCGGGCACCAACGGCTTTACTTCCCTTCAGCGATTTTATGCCTCTGAACATCCCGGCGGCGCCGACTGGAATTGAACCCAGGCCTGCTGGGGTGAGAGGTTATCACGTTTACCAGTATACCACCGGCACCGCTTAACGTGTTTAGTTACAAAAAGTTTTAATTTTGATCAAAAGTTGTCGTTCAATGATTTCTGTCTGTTTTATAGTGCTCAACTTGAAAATTACTGTAAAATTAATAAATTAAATATTTGACATCAAAATCAACAATTGAAAAGGCCTTATCAGCAGTTGAAACAAAACTTCTTGTGGTCTTTTCTCGTGAATGACAGTTAATCTATGCAAACCCAGTATACCGTCAGGTAGGACGAAGCTTCCCCTATCTGATAGTGTGGTTGGTAGTTTTGTTTACAAAAGCTGATGAGGTATTTTCTATTAGACCCGTATTTTTGTTTTATTTTGCCATTAGGGTGACGAGTTCCATGTTAGGGTGGTTCAAAAAATCGTTGTTTTTTCAAAAACTGACTTTTTTCAAAAATTTATAACTTCTGAACCACAAGGCGATTTCAAAGATCAAAATATCAAATGAAAGGTAATTAAACGTACTTTTTAGAAAAAATATAGCGCTATTTGAAAATTGGGATTCTATATTGAAAAACATTGCACAGTGGTCCAGGATACATATTTAGGTGGAAGGATATGTTTTGAGCCTGAAATTGAAACTTTAGACTAAAAGTCTCTTCTACAAAGTTGTTCCTTATAGCTAGGCCCTCATTTTATGAAAATAAATTCTAGGGCGGTTCTTTTTATCATTAAAATTAAAAATCAAACTTTTTTGTTTGAATAAATTAAGGTACACATTCTTCGCTAAAGTTATAGCTGAGCTAATTTCAAGCAACTTTGTATGAAAAAAAAACTTTTTTATGTCTCTTAAATTGACCAATTTAGAGCTATTTGCTTTAATTGAGTTAGGGTGTCTCTAAAAAAACAGTTGTTTTGCTCTAGTTTTCTTATTCCAAATTTCTCAGCAAAGGTGTCTTAAAATAATTTTTAGACCTTTAGAAGGCGAAAGCTTGTCAATATCTTTTGCCAATCAAGAGTTATTGACGTTTTTCTTCTAAAAATATGCCCTTTCCAAATTTTAATATCTCTGGTTGGGGCAAAAAAAAGTTATGTTACGGCATTTGAAAGGGCGTATGTTATTCTCAATAATATGAAAAAAATTTGAGGTATGTAATTTTTTTAAATCGTATGAAGTCAGTTTGTATGTATTCATATTTTTACTATATTTGGGTATATCTTTTTTATTAGAAGCCATACAGACAACAAATTTAGCTATAAAACATTCGTCTTAAAGAGTTTTAATAGTCTATAGAAAATGACTTTCATGAGAAATTTGACAGCCGTCAATCGACGGGGTTTACTAAAAGGATGGAATTGAGTATTGGTAATTTGCAACCGAACAGAAAGTTGTGAGCAATTATATTAAAATAAGACAGATTAAAGTGAGTCTCACTCTTGTAAGTAACATGAAATAATGCAGGTAAATCATGAAATTATATGAACTTGTTAGCTATCTAGGCACAAGCGAACACAAGAGAGAATATTTGATAGGGTCAAAAGAACCACGGCGCAACGCTTGATGTGATGGAGCTTGGGTTTCATCTCATGGTTTTCTGCTCAATAAGCAGAAACGATCCCTCATCGGTCATCGAGCATCTCAAAATCTACAGCGCTTCGCGTCAAAGTATTATTAAGTTAACTTTAGGTATGTAACGAACGATTAAGATACGTGATAATTCATGTATTTTCTACGATCGATAATTAATTTAAAATATACGAATAGTACTGCCAACGACGATGATAATAGCGATGAAGCCCCCACAGCGATGGAGCTAACCCTTTGCCTAGGATAAACACACCTTGGCACCTCCACTGGTTCCTCGTGTACATCTATCACTCTCATTTTTCACGGCATCTATTATTTTTGATTTTCTATAATGCACAAATCTCGCGCGAATAAAAGTTGATCTCTCGTACCCACAAAAACGATGGATCACGCACAGTAAGTATAATTTTCCACAGTCACTTAATCAACGATTCTAAAGGCATTCGCACAAAAGATCGCACTCCACGCACAATCAAGGTCATACATAAATGAACCAATGAGCATTTCAGTTGAGTTGCTCAAATACATAACTTTAGCACCACATTTTTATTGATTTTGATAGGGATTTTTTTAAACAAGTTGTATTCAATTTGGTTGCCATTTGAGATCCCAACATCAGAAATAGAGGCGAACAAAAATCACGTAAAAACAAAATTGAGTGTATTTTCGACTATTTGTCCATTTGACCATTTGTCCATCAATCTTTTGTCCTACAACCCGTGTAGGAGATTCAATTCTTCAAAGGCTGGAGCAGGGCTGTGAAATCGGTGAAAAGTATTCCAACTCCGACGCAACCTCCGGTACAGCATATATATTCATGTTCATATTCACGTAGGAATTAAAATGCATGTACACGTAATCAAGTAGTGCTGGATAAATGCTCCACATAATTTGCTTTTCAATCACCCTGCACCTGTTTTGAGTCAATAATTGATTTAGACATATTTTACATAATTTATTTATTTATCAAGGATCAATTGCGGTAGCTTTGTGAGGCCGTAGTTCATTATGGGTTTTACAATGTTTCTAAAAGCTAAAGTTAGTTGAAGGGGTCGAATACTCGCGGCTTACTCGAGGTTATGGGATACAATTTATAAACAGCCTGCAAGGGGATCCTTCCCGGGTGGAAATAAACTCAACCCTATCAAACTAATCGAAACACAAACGCCTCGCATCACCCAACTGTGTAGTAAACGTTCAATTTGTATCGGTTCAAGTAAAACAGTAAACACCAAAGAAGAAAAAAACGTTGAAGTCGAAAGCGAGCGCACCAAACACGAAAAAAAACAAGGCTCCACCGAGCCAGAAGAAGACTGTAATCCAATAAAATATAAAACAATTCCTCCCAATATTAAACTCTTGACTCTTGATCCTTTGGCCTTCTGCTTCCTAGTAGGTACCTACTACGTTCATACACGTTCGTAGTTGTTGGGAAAGAATGAAATTTCTCCGTCGCCGCCAGCCAGATTGTTTCAGTCAGGCAGGCAGTCAGTACTTTTCTTTCGTTAGTTCAAACCCCCATCCCCCACCCACTCTCCCTCCCCCCGCAGTAAATGGCCAGTCAGTCAGTCAGTTTGGTTGAACAGCATGCAAGAGTATTTGTGGCATTTACTCACCTCATTAGTATTCCACCGATGTCGCTGGGTTGGGAAATGGTCAGCCCGTGGTAAACTTTCTAAATTTTCCGGAAGTTTGATCGGTTCACCATCTGGAAGCAGAAGGGAAAAAAAACGAAACGGAAGATGATGTTAGAGTCAGGAGATGAAGCGGAAAACGGAAATTGAATGCCTGAAACGCGCGAGCGGAGATGTGTGTGAGTAAATTGTATGAAATTATTATCCCACGCGCATATTTGTGCTTTCTCGTTGTTTCAGCGAGGCGAACAATTTCCTAAAACGAACGGAATAATTCCAACCAAGAGTTCATCAATCATTGGGCAAGGACTTCCCCGGCAATTATTTTCAGATAGAGTAAAATTGATTGTATGCCTTTACGACTTAATTCTAATTTTACGAGCTGGATTATGATACGCTTGTTCCAGAACCGGTCAAACAAATGGGAAACAAACGTCCCATTTCCACGACCCCAATCCAAACTTACTGCCGAACGGTGGGCGATGGAGGTCGGTCCGGTAGGAAGTTAGGGGAAATAATTTATGTCACCTTCGAGGTGAAAACTTTCACTCTTGTTACAACCAGTGACACCTTCTTCTTTCTCGGTTGCCTCATTCCACCTGACAAATCGAAGAATCGTGACCAGCGGTAGTAAATTTGTTCATTCGCTCTTCGGTTTGGCCGTTACAGCTTTGTTTTAGTTAAAGGGAGATTATCGGAAAATAACGTCTGGAAACGCAAAACTGTCATAATTTCTGTATTTATTAGCGACCGGAATGATTTTTGCCCCAAGGGGACACAGTTTTTTTTTTGATGTCCACTCTTAAGCAAAAAGAAATGCTGATGATTTTAACCCACCAAAAATAAAAGGTCAGATCAGCATTTCCAAAATTGAATCTCTTTATCTTTAGACATCGTGACAGTAGAAATACATTTCGAGTTCTTAACATGCGTGATGGTACGTAAAAATTGTAGCTTGCTAATATTTTTTTCTGATTTAACGCGTTGTGAGATAATATCATTAACAAAGGAAATCATGGAAATTTCTCTTCGTTTCTTAAGTGTTTCAATGTTTATCAACATGCAACGGGGCTCATAAGAAGAAACGGGAAAAGAAATCCAGCCTAGTTTCCTAAGAGCAAATAACAAAAACTGTTTTTGAACTGATTCTATACGATTTATATAAGTTTCATGGTATGGAGCCCAAACCACACTGCAATATTCGAGAATTGATCTCACGTAAGCTATATAAAGTGTTTTGAAGTTAAAGGGGTCTTTAAAATGATAACTCAATCTTTTTATTAATCGCAACATATTATTTGCTTTGTGAATTGTGGTATTCACATGATCTACAAATGTCAACTTCGAGTCACGAATTACTCCTAAGTCCCTAATTTTATCGCATCTTACAACCAGCTGGTTTCCTAGAGTGCATGTAAAATCTAGAGTAGTGTGTTTTCTGGAGTAAGATATAACATTGCGTTTTTTAACATTAATATCCAGCAGACTTTTAACGCACCAATTGTAGAAAACATCAATTTCATTTTTAAAATGGAGCAAATCAGAATTGTTAAAGATTTCCATGTACAGTCTCATATCGTCAGCATATATGAGCACATTTAAGCGATTCAACACAAATTTCACGTCATCCACAAATAAAATAAATAATAAAGGACCTAAATGAGATCCCTGTGGAACTCCCGAGGTAACTTTAACTGGCGAGGACATTTTTACTCTAAAGTGGACCATCTGTATTCTTTCTGTCAAGTATGATCCAATCCATTTTTAAAGTGTACTTGTCATACCTAAACGTTTTAAATGAAAAAGAAGTAAGGGAATGTCTATTCTGTCAAAGGCCTTACTAAATTCAGTGTATAAGGTTTCAAAGGTATAACCTCTATCCATTGCTTCAATAGAAAAGTTTACAAATTCCAACAGATTAGAAGACGTTGACCGACCTTAAACCATGTTGATTATTTGAAATGCGATGCTTAACCTGGTTAAATATTTTCTGGTTAACAATTGCTTCAAACATTTTAGGAATGCATGGCATAATTGCAATACCTCTATAGTTTTTAATGTCTGGCCGTTTGCCAGATTTAAATATTGGGATTTAAAATGATTTCTTCCAATTTTTTGGAAAATCACCTGTTTTGAGAGATAAATTGTAAAGCCAAAACAATGGTTTAACAAAACTAGTTGCTATTTTTTTCAATAAAAATTGAGGTATTTCACCAGGACCAGGTCCTTTGCCAGCATCGAGACTTACAAGAGTCATAAAAATTTCTTTAACAGTGATATTATTAACTGATACGTCATTTCCCCCTTCATTCAATTTGCATGATTATTTGTTATGGTCAATCATTGACAACCATTTTTCAACAAGTTACAGTTGTTGGAAAAACTTATTTCATTTCAGGAAAAATATACAGGGTGAAAAAAAATTAAATGAAAATCTTAAATAGCAAACAATGACTACTTTTAATATTTTTGACTAGATTTTAGATTTTGATTATTTCTTCAGACAATTTAACTAGTATCTCACTTTCCAGCAGGTGCTTCACAATTTTTGATAATTTTAAATCACTAAATTGAATGCATTTCTGTTCTGTCATCAGAACGGGATCCTCTTCCAGTGGTTTCATTGTATGGCAGTATTGCCAACGGGGAGCAGAGATAACGCAAAACGTGGTCAGAACTCACACACACACACACACACACATCACGAAACGGTTGCTTTCTAAATTCGACGACGCGTCGACCGAAAGAACTGCTGATGAAAAACAATGAGGAGGACCACACATCTCGATGTGAGTCACGCGATCGTCTTTTTACTCGGCAGCAACCAGTAAAAAGACGACCGCGTGATACACATCGAGAGTGTCCTGCTTCTGTCGACAGCCGAGTTAACACTGAGCTAGTATTGATATTAAGATTAGAAATTTCATTCGTTTTCGACTTCAAACAACCATGGATGTTATAAATCTGTATAAATTTGTGTGTTATCTTCTAGAAGCTTTCAAAGTGTTTTTATGTTACTTCATACGCGAAGTTAACGATTTTCAGAGTTGGTTGGAAATGCTAACATGAAGCTTTAGTGTGATGATTTATTAGCTAGAGAATGATCTTTAGAAGAGGGTAGGTGGATAGTTCCGTTAGAGTACGGCAGTATGAAAATTGAATAGAAGTTGAAAATGAGCGAAGGGCCATTAAAGCGACAGTTTTCAAGATAGACGCACATTTTTGCCTAGCCCGTACGATGTACGCGGGGACTTGAAGTATGTCTCCAAGTCCACAGGCAAAAATGTGCGTCCCTCTTGTTGCTCATAAACTGACTGCGGCTGTGGAATAGATCTAGCGACGTTTTCATCACTACCTAAAGCCCCACGTTGCGAGAGCATTTCCAGTCGATGGTGTGTTATAATGCAGTTCTTCTTTACCCAAGTTGGGTACTGATATCAAAAATGGATGCAACCGTTCATTCGTTATTACCATTGTTTTAAGTGACAGTTACTCCGAATCACCCTGTATATAGGGACCTCCTAATGAAAGCTGCCCTGGGCAACCTGGATCCTAGATCCGGTAGTGCATCCAATGGCAGCATACACTTGCTTAAACTCTACACTGGACCCCTTTTATTGATAAATTTTACTTCTAGGAGCCTCTATTTTAAATCAACACACAGACGTTCCTAGGCTATGGTACCCGTTTGGTCACTGTTGTTTTTGTGTTGATCCAAATAGTTTTGATGATAGGGTAAATTATGGCTTCGGCACCCATTGACTGTTTTCGGCAACCGAAATTGAAACGTTTATTTCACTGTATTTTCCCATCAAAACTCTTCGCTGAATGTATTAAGCCGATTCCATACCTTTTCAGCTTCAATCTGATTACATTTTTACGACTGTCAATTCCTGTTATACCATATTTTTCTTTAAATGAAATATAATTACTACAAAATACGGCTGATTTCGAGTTGCCGATAATAGAACAGCTGGTTAACACGCAGTTCAAATGGAAAGGGTGCCGAAGAAAAAGAGACTGCCGACAATAGTCACACTCACCTGAGAAGTTTGGAGCGTTGTAAAAACATGTTCAACACGTTTTGATCAATTCTGTCGATTGGAATTGGTAGAACAGCAAGCAGCAGATAAATATCAACAAACAAACCTGTCATGTATGTGTGTGACGCTGAAAAATCGCTAATAGAAGTTCGGACGCTGCTTAGATTGACGAAAATACGTAAATTCCCCTATAATTGCGCCTTCTTGGTTTTTTTTTAACGGTTGATTTTTGTCCCAGTCTTGTCTTCAGTCGTCACTTATTTTGTCATTTTGTCCTGTGTATTAACCCCAACTTGCCTTGTGTATTGTGACAACTTGTGTCTATTGTTCTTCCCCATCTGTTTATAAATTCTTTCTGTTACTCTGTTATGACTAATTTCATTGATATATACAAATAGTAATATCAATATATAGTATAATATGGTTATTTATTCTAATTATTGAATTATTGACAATTACCTTTCATGATCCTTGGCTCCACTATGATTTTAACTGACTACTTTTTGATTATTTATCAAATACCTCTCCGAGTATATAACTCACAGGTGCCTTGTTGATTTCTGGTATCTAATGGATTGGTCTTGAATTTGTTTGATATCCTGTTCGAAGTCATTCTATTCCTTCTCCTTAGTCCATTGAAATCAAGTTATTTCTTCGAGTTCAAGCTCCATATGATTCGCCATTCATAAAGATAATGGGTTAAAATGTAGATTAGTATTAGTTGTACTTGATCCAAACAATAGAAAGAAGCATAGATAAATAAGTTGGAAAATAAAACTAATATATAACTAAAAGTGCAATGGATGAGTGTTAGTTCCGGGATCATTTTAGTGTTAAGAGTTATGTTAGTTTTGATCCGTATTCCGTATTCAGCCCTGCCGGCCCCTCCAGGATTATTTGCAGCAATTGTGATAAGATTATGCGACACTGCTACTACTACTATGTTAGATGCATGACTTGTCAATTTTCGTTATAGGAGAATACTGTTTCCTAACGCAACGCAATGTTTCAATGAAGGTGTCTTTCAATAA